AAAAAAAAAGAAGACAGATGCAAAAGGCAAAGATAAAACAATATTAATCAAGCCTTCTCAAGTCACTACAGAAGTTCACAGATGCGTCACTTGTTACTTTGAGAAGGTGGATACTCAGATTCTAACAGTAATGATTATTAATATATCCCTTGCATTTCACCAGTCTTCACCAGTCTTTATGCTATGTATATTACTTCCCTTTTTTGCTGTATGTTGTTTAAAATAAATAAAACATTACCAAAAAAATATATGGGGACATATATTTACAGGTATGAACTCACTTAGCATCTGTTAGCGCAATGTCCAAGCACATATATGTCCATGAGACAAGGCTTTGTAACTATGTAAATACCAGGATCTCAGATCTCTTTCTTCAAGTCTGGACCCCACTTCTGCCTAGAAGTAACTTACTCTACAGTAGTAGTGTCTAAATAAAAACATATAGCCCTGTTCTTCTCAGCTCCTGTGACATTCACATCCCTATTTCGAGTTTTCCCCGAATATGGTTTTTTGGGTATGAATAGAAAGTATTGTGCCCAGATGCCACAGCCCTGATTCTGTCACCCTCACACTGCACCATTCCCTTCTGCCCCTGACAGGCTATCATAAGCAAACTGCCATATCCTGGAGCTGGCTTAACAGAAAAGATACTGACAGCTGGGTGGAAAATGGTTAAGCACTCACCTAAGGTGCTCACCCCAGCCCAAAAAAGCTACTTCTCTCCTTCACACATGCTTATGCAAAATCTGTACATAGACCAAGAAGCAGCTGTCCAAACAGAGCAAGTAACACTGCGTGGTTTAAAATCAAGAAAGTTGAGTGTCAGAAATGTATTCTTTTTCCATACCTATTCAATCTGTATGCTGGGCAAATCATTCAAGATGCTGGACTATATGAAGAAGAATATGACATCAGGATCAGAGAAGATGTAGCAATAACTTGTGTTATGCAGTGACACAATTTTGTTTTCTGAGAGTGAAGAGGACTTGAAGTATTAGTGCAGAAGATAAGAGACTATAGTTCAAAATGAATTATATCTCAACATCAAGAAAATGAAAACTCTCACCACTGCTGGACCAATTGGCAACATTATGATAGATAGAGAAAATAACAGAAGTCTTCAACGACTCAATGATTTGACTTTACTTGGATCCAGAAATGAAAAGACATGTTGCAATAAGACAATATGCAGTCAAAGGCCTTTCCAAAGAGCTAAAAGGCTTGGGTGCCAGTTTAAAGACTCAGGTGCAAGGGATCCAAGCTATGGTATTTCCAATTATACACTATGCATCAGCAGGTTGGACAATGAATAAAGATGAGAGAAGAAATCAATGACTTTGTATTGTGGTGTTGGAGAAGAATAACGATTATTCCATGGATAGCCAAAAGAACAAATATGTCTGTCCTGGATAAAGTGCAAACCAAGTGCTTCTTAGAGGTAAGGATGATGAAACTTCATCTCAAATACTTGGAGCATGGTGTCAACAGAGGCTAAACCTTGGAAAAAGACATCATATTAGGAAAGGTGAAAGGTTACAGAATGGAAGACCCTCAACAAGATGGACTGACACAGTGACTGTACCAATGAGCTTAGGCTGGTAGGAGATGGTGGAGGATGGCAATGAGTTAAAGTGACTTGTGGACACACAGCAGCACAAACTACTTCCCCAAAATAAACATGCATACACACATACACATAGGTGTTGATGTAATATTCATATCATGTAAAATCCTACTATACAGAATGTATTGTGAACCTACGTTATGCAGATGATACAATCCTGCTTGATGAAACTGAAGAAGACCTGAAGCACTTGCTGCAGAAGGTCAAGGACTAGTCTTCAATAAGGATTGAAGCTCAACATCAAGAAGACAAGATTTTCACCACTGGGCCAATTGTCAGCATCAGGATGGATAGAGAAGATATTAGAGGTTGTTAACAATTACACCTTGCTTGGCTCCACAATCAACACTCTTAACATCAGCAGTCAGGAAAAGAAAAGCCAAACTGCACTGGGAAAATCTACCATCAAGGACCTCTTCAGAGTACTGAAAAGCAACAATGTCAGTCTAGAGACTAAGGTGTGCCTAATCCAGGCCATGGTCTTCACAACTACTTGTTATGCTTCAGAGAACTAGACAATGAAAGAAAAATCTCTGCCTTTGAGTTGTGGTGCTGGAGGTCTTGAACATACCACGTACTGCCAAGAAAATAACTAGGTCTGTCTTGGAGAAGGTGAAACGAAGTTTCTCCTTGGAGGCTAAGATTTTGAAGCCCTGCCTCACATACCTGCGGCACATGGCCAGGAGAGACCAGTCCTTGGAGAAGGACATCATGCTCAGAAGGGTGGAGGGACAGTGCAGGAGAAGAAGACCTCAGATGACAAAGATTAATACAGTAACTGAGGCAACTGGGGTTAGTATGTAAGTCATAATTAGTGAGACTGGATCAGGACAAGGCAGGCTTCAGAGCTGCTTGTACATAGGGTCACTATGAATCACAGGAGACTTGACAGCACATAACAACAACAACAACAACATTGTTGATAGTAAATGAAGAAGAACTGAATTAGAAAAATCTGCTGTCAGGGACCTCTCCAGAGTGCTGAAAAGCAAAGACGTCAATCCAGAGACTCAGGTGCACCGGATTCAGATCATGGTCTTCACAATTACTTGTTATGCATCAGAGAGCTGGACAATGACCAAGGATGACAGAAGAAGAACTGATGCCTTCTAACTGTGGTGCTGGAGAAGAGTACTGTGCATACCATGGACTGCCAAGCGAACTAACAGGTCTGTTCAGGAAAGGGTGAAACCAAGCTGCTTCTTGGAGGCCAAGATAATCATGCTTGGAAGGGTTGAGGGACAGCAAAGGAGATGAAGACCCTGGATGGGATGGACTGACACAATTAACTGGGGTAACTGGGGCAATGAGGGTAGGTGTGTCAGACACAGTGATACTGGCTCACGATAGAGCAGGGTTCAGAGCTACTGTGAGTAGGGTCACTATGAGTCTCAGATGACTCGACCACACATAACAACAACAATATAGTGTACCTATAAGTATAAAATGTTCTTGGGAAACGGCAACGCAAATAACAAGTGCACAAGTAAATATAACCCAAGTGGTTTCATAGTCTAAAAGTAATCTTGATGAATTCAACTTTTTAAAACACAACCAATATCAGTAAAAATAAAAACGAATTTTCAAGTAGCAATTTTTCTAAGATTTTAAGCACATTAAGTTATACACCTTAGGTGTTTATGTGTACTTGTACCACAACTTTACTCACAGTGAGGACTTGTGCATCTTCCTCCTAGATCAATATAAATGTCTAGTTCTTTATCTCAAAACTGGCTGCTGTCTAAGCTGACCCTCCAGTGGGTTTTTGGGAGCTTTAGTGGCTTAGTAGTAAGGGATTATACTACCAACACAAAGGTAAATTGTTTGACTTCACCAGCTGCTCGGTGGGAAAAAGGTGTGCAATCCCCTCCCTGCTAGAAGATCACCTATGGGCTAGGTCTCACTAGATGGTACACAACAATAGAATATCACACTAGAGATTACCCACCGTTTTCCCATGGAGCAGCAGGTGGATTAAAACCACCAGCCTTTGGGTTGGCAACACAACTGCTTACCTAATAGGCTACCAGAGTTCCCTCTAAGCTATCATGTAATTAATTACTTTACATACTCAAGGACATAAACTTTCAAAATAAACACATTTAGATTGTATAATAATGTATCTCTCTCTTTTTTTTTTTTTTGGTACTTACATGCAAATAGCAACCATCACCACTTTTCCTGGTCCCTTGAGAAACACTGAGGTTGTCCCGGAGCGTGGCTATGAAAAACAAGAAGGAAAAACCCCAAAATTTTGCCTGAGAAGCACTATAATTGGTACTTTAATACGCACAAAAAAACCCCTCCTCCTCCACTAAAACATATGAATAAATGTGTTTACAGATTTCATTATTTTTCTTCAGAATTTACTCTTTAAAAGATGGGAAAACAGAAATTCAAATTACATCTGGACCCGTTTTCAGAATCTAAATTGTTTTCTTGAAATTCACTTCCTATCTAGTTCCAGGAATGCTCTGAGCTGGCTACACAAGAACTATTGATAAAGTTTTAAGACTCATATACTTTAGCAATTTCTTAGTCTTTAAAACAACTACCAGCAAGTCTACCACTCAAGTTTAACTCATGATCAATCTCTCAAGGCCAGATTGCAAATGATAATAATGTATTCATTACAAAGTAGATAAAAGTTAAAAGTAAGGAAATGTAACCAAAGAAAATATTTTTCATTAATTAAGTTTTGTATGTTCTCTTTTGCTGCTCTGTGGCGGTATACTGTGTTTTTTCGTGTGTTTTCTCCTCCTAGAATGCTATCACTTTCCACAACAATCTAAATCTGACCCAGCCTCTTCTATATTTGGCCAACTGGTTTTCTACTCATACATTGCTTCTGCTGATGGGTCATTTTGCTTGCTTTCTTCTTTTGTTGTTATGTGCTATCCAGTTAGAAATGACTCAGACCTGACCCTCCAGTGTTTTTTCAGAGATTAAATTGCACAGGTGGAGATTACCCACACCTCCCTCAATAAGCAGCTAGTGAATTTTAAGGACCTACCTTTGTGTTAAGTGTGTCAGAGTCATTAAGAATGGCTCAGGACAGGGCAGGCTTCAGAGCTGCTGTTCCTAGGGCGACTATGAGTTGTAAGTGATTTGAAGGCACGTAACAACCACCACCGCCACCAGCACCTTTGGGTTTGTAGCACTTTCTTACCAGGCCACCAGAGCTCGCTCTTTTAACTATTGCAACTAATGCTTCAATGAATATCAGTGTACATGTATCTGGGTTGCTGCTTTCAATTATTTTAGGCATGCATTTTGATATATTTTGGGCATACCTAGGAGTAGATTGCTAGGCTACATGACAAACAATTCTATTATCAATGTTTTAAACAATCACCAAATTATTTTTCACAGAAGCAACGTATGAGTGTTCTCCAAACTCTTAACAACTGAAGAGCTGCATCATAAGAATTATGACAAAATGCTGATAATTACTGAGGCTGGGTAATGAGTATATCTATAATTTATTTTTTCTATTTTTCATGTATGTTGAAAACTTTTTATGAGAAAAAAGTTTGGCTAGTTGTGCTTTTTTTTTTTTAAAGTACTGGGCCAACTGACACCACCATGATAGATGGAGAGAGATTGAGGTTGTTAACAATTACACCTTACTTGGCTCCACAATCAACACTCTTAACACCAGGAGTCAGGAAATCAAAAGACGAATTGCATTGGGAAAATCTACTGTCAGGGACCTCTCCAGAGTTGTTGTTGTTGTTATGTGCCATTGAGTTG